ATTACCAAAGGTTGGAGAAGCTTTGCTTAGTGCTAATTGTTTTGCGTCATTGGTAGAAGCCCAACATGTTCCAGTAGAGACTGAAGTAGATAATTTCCAAGATAATACCAGTCAGTTAAAATATGATGCCTTAGAACATATAACTGGACTTATATGTAAGAAGCTAAACCTGCCTCATTTACGTGGACGGGCCAACTCTCCGAGGGTGGCTTAAGGAAACCTTCAGCCGAGCTAGTCATCGAAATTAAAAAATTAGAAGACATATTTAACAGCGTTAATGTATAAACCATTAGAATAGGAAAACACTATTTACTGGATATAATAAATCGTTCGTCATGTTAATTGCGATGAGCAGGTAAAACGTCTATTTTTGAGATCCTTTAGAATCAAGACTTTAAACAATGCGTTAAAGGACACTGGAAAATAGTCAAATAAACTACAATTGAGTTGTACCACTATTGCACTGCTCAGTAATTCTCACAATATTTTAAGAAATATTTCGTTCCTTTCAATGACTTTAATTTAACTTAGTAAAATAGTGTAAATTGGTGTATGTGCTGCTAATAGAGCGTATAGTTTTATAGGTAATTTAACATGTTCATAAAGTATTAAACGTTTTTCCTTGTGCGTATTTGATTGAAACCCGTTTCTCCCCGTCACAGAGCTATCAAAAACCTAAATCATGCGACATTTCTTCTAAAAAGTGTCTTTTTACCGGATGTAGTTTAAACGCGCATGACCTCTCAGAGTGACGTCATGCGCACAGGCGGACCAGTTTTGGACCGCTATCAATCATAGCTTATATTCCTTGTATCATGCCAGAATGGTGCTTACCAGTAGCCACATTCTCCACTCCCCATCCGGTCACAAACACCGCGTCAAACTTCCTGGTCCGCTCCCGACCCAATGGTAAGCAGACTGGTCGCGCGCTTTCTGAAACGCGCTGGTCAACCTCCGATCACTCACCCCCAGTTTGGAGACTTACCAACTTCCAGGTTCATGGTGGAGACGCGAATCAGCCCGATATCAAAGCCGTTCCTCCCCGTCTTGAACTGCTCATGAGGAATCACCTTCTCGATGGCCACGTCCTGCACTGGCGGGTTGCACTTGAGGGTCTTGTTGACCAGGTCGCAATCGGTGTCGTTTTTTATGCTGTACTCCCCCACTCGCACTGAAACTCTACAAGAGAAAAACAGACCTTGAAATGCCAATAGTCCAGTAGCACCTTGCATCTCCGAAAGTTTCTAGCCAAGCTTCCATGTTTTCCATTCCTAATGAAGCACCCTGTATAAATCAACGCCCGATACATACAGTTGGGAAGTGATTCCGGAAAGGCAATGGGCCGCAGTCAGGATGTAGTTCCGGTTGATGATGGAGCCGCCGCAATTGAACTTCAGGCCTCTAGCTGAAACATCCCAAGTCTGGAAGGGCCTCCATCAACGGCTAAAGGCTTACAGTTTCTATAGCGCAGCAGAGCCATCCAAGGGAACTCGTTGATGGCGGCGTTTTCCCCATTGGTTATGCGATTGTCCGTGTTCAAATACCCGCAATCTTTCGGCAAGAGGTAGAGGTTGGGGTGGTTGGACACGTCTGGCGGGAGGCTTTCAGTCTCCAAAACGATTTCGCTTGGAGGGCAGCAGACCTGAAAGGACCCACGATTCATTCACTCAACAGCCAGCATTAGAGAGAAATTTGATTTATTTTTCTGACTGCGTCACTGTCCTGCGTCTCAGTCAAAGAGTGAAGTAACAATTTTGTAATTACGTTTCGGCGAGACAACAGCGCCATCATCAGATTTAAAATTTACACAAACTCATGATTGGTAAAAACCAACGTTCTTTTAGGTCTTTGCCTTCTTGAAACCTTAAATTTGTCTCTCGAAAGAGAGTCCCGGATTAGTTGTGAGTGATTATGTCCCGGATTAGTTGGTGCGGAGGCGTGTCCAAACCTCCATAACGTGTTTCCTTCCGGCTTGCCATACTGGCATCACCCGGTATATACTCAGCTATTCAGCGAGCTTTAATGCATGCAAATAATTGAGTTTTTGATACCTTGATGCTTGAACCATATGAGCCGCATGTGTAGCTCTGCAGGCGCTTCATCACAGCGTCCGAAATGGGTCTTTTCACCCTTTGGAGGACGTTAAGCATGGGCTTGCAGTCTGTGATGGGGATGCAGTTGCCGGTGCCTCGGTCTGGAGTACGACAGCCATCATCTTCAACCACCCATTCTGGAAAAAAACGGATCTTTGGCAAGCCTTCTTTAAGTCTTGGGCGGAGCAGCAGGCCGTTTGGAACCTCTTTATTGCTAGGCCCCTGAAGCACGTGAAGATATGCAACTCCTTGGGTGCTTAAGAGGGCGCATATGCTAAGGCCTTAAAAATATTAAAGTCGAGTTTTCTCAGTTAAATTGTGCAGACGTTTGGAAAATTTCCTAATCTCTGCTGTTGAAGCACAGGGAGACTTGAAAGTTTGGTCGAAAATAAGGTAAATACACCTTGACAGGTTGAAAAAACAAATGTTCTAGAAAACAGTCAGGGTGATTTAAAAAAGTATCGTAAAATCTTCGAAAAAGCATTCTTGCTCTTTCGCTCGGGAGAAAAAACGGTCATAGCTGCCGTGTTGAAACGGTTAGAGACTTGAACTTTTGGTCAACGTTAGAGCAAGTGCACACTAATAGTTTAAGCAATTTTTTTTAATTACATGGTGTTTGAAAACACTTAACTGGTTTTTCCGCAGGCGCACTAATTTTTTAAAACGCTCAAGGCCCAGGTTTTAAAGCAAACAGAAACTTGAAAAGCCCGACAAAAATAGAGCAAAAACACCCTTGAAGCTCCTCGATGAATCTGGCATTAAAAAAACATGCAAGGTCTTGCGCCACCCTTGCACAAAACGACGATAATTTTCCTAATTTCATAGACAACAGAAGACTTTATTTTTTCTACATAAAATGTGAAAACTTGAAATTTGAGTGAAATATAGAGAAAACTGACCCAAGTTGGAGAGATCATTTATGAAATAATCCGTTTTTGTTGTTCAATCGTGCAGCGCTTTTGGAAAATGTTCATCGCTATAAAGAAGATAAAGAAGACAAAGACTTTTTGCTGCAGAAACATCGTAAATGCGTTCTCAGTGCTAGCGAAAACCGGCAGGATTATTTCGAAAAAAAAATTTGCAACTTCTTGCACCTCAATGCAAACTGTTTTCTGTTGCTGTTGCAAGCAGATAGAAAATTTGCAGAAAACCCGAAAATCTGATGGCTCCAGTATGTAAGAGAATAGAGGCCGTTCGGCCACAAAGCTTGCACCTTGATTGATTGGGTTCAACAAGGTTCACTTGAGACTTACGCCCGTTCAACTCATCAGGACAATGAACAAAACAAACAGCAACAATCCACAACAATTTCCGGGTACCCGATGGAACCATATCGCAAGACTCGCACTAATTGACCACTACTGACGAGGACCCGATGCGCACTCAAACCTGACTGACCGGCTACTGGAAATTGGAACCAGTGGAACCCGACCATTAAATTTATTGGTTTGTTAATTGTTATCTTCGCAAATGTTTACAACAATATGTTCCCCACTTTGGCCAATTCCAGTGTCTTTGCGTGTCCTTGTCCAGCAGCAGGTTCGATTTCGGTTAATAATTCAACAGCGACGTACTTATTTGTCTGGTTCAATTTTCCTTGAGATTTTCACGCCCAATTTTCCCGAAAAAAACATTTTTCGCGGAAAAAAGTCACGCTTTTGAAGCCGATTTGGAATTGGTTTCGGTTTTTTTACAGAACTGGGAACATCGGGGATTCCACACATGACCACACATTATACCGGGATTTTCCTATTGGTGTATGCATTTCGAAGCGCAAAAAACCACCCAGCTGGAAAGTCCAACACACCGGCATTGATCAATCAACAGCTAAACATGCGGGCGGAAAATTGCCGGCTGCGGATCAATAGTTTTCCTTCACTTTTCCAGGCCAGGATTTGGCTACGGTCTTCCACAAGCCAGTTAAGTAATGCAACAGCCCTGGTATTCTGTTGTTTAGGCCGTGTCCATGGCAATCGTGCCAGGTTGCGATGCGACGTGGGATTTCCGAGCGGCCTGTGACCTTACAGGGGCCATCCAACTAGTTCTCAGATTGTAATGAGTGGATTTTTTGCAAGGTTYCTTATGCGGTTGAGTCCAAGTTTTGATTATTGTTCGAAGTCAAGATCAGCAAGGCACTGAAGCACATAGAGATACAATAAGGAATGCAGTCATTTGGAAAACTTTCCAATGTTTCAAAGACTTGAAACTTTGGTCAAAAATCGAGCAAATGGGACTTCCCAGGCAAAAACAACGTTCAAKGCAATTCAAGGAACACCTTCAAATCTCTGGAACCAAATATGCAACAGCCCTGGTATTCTGTTGTTTTGGCCGTTTCCATGGCGATCGTGCTAGTTTGCCATGCAAGCTCCACCCTCCGAGCTGGCTCCAATCTTACAGGGGTCATCCAACTAGTTCTACAATTTCCGAGGGAATCTTGCCGCACTCCTGCCCTGTCCGCAGGCCCATAGTAACAGCACAAGCAAACTTATGAAAGTCTGAATCAATGGCCAACATGTACGACCACGATTCGGCAGTTTACAAAAACAATTGTCTGACGGCCGCCAAAAAGATCGCCCAACCCGTGCAGTTCGATCAGAAGTTCCTGCATGAGCTGCACAATGAAGTCACCAGCAAACTGAACAGGAAACTCAAAGCCAATCTGCAGGAAACAACGAGCGTTGGAGACATGAAGACATTCCTCGACTTCGTCGAGAGCATTCCGGAATACCAGGATATCAATCACTTGTCCAACAAGGAGTTTTACAGAAAACTGGACACTCTCAAGGAAAAGCAGCGGGAGTTTTGCGAGTATGTGAACAGGAAAATCCAGCTGGAAACCCAGGTAGAAGAGTTTTGGTGCTTGAGGCTCTGTGGTGCATTGAAGTGTTTTTTACTCAGACTAGTTGGGTCGAAGACTACAAAACCCGGGACCTGAACAGAGGTGAAAACCCCCATAAAACTCGTCTGAGAGATGAAGAAAGCGCTTCGCTATCAGACAAGGATTTGGCACTTCTCAAACCCCCATCCAGACGGTATGTGCAGGCCTCAAAAGCGCAAATAGACCTCATTCTCCTTACAGGTCGGTGCGCATCCCCATCCTCAAATCCTCCCCAGAGCCTGATCCAACAGAAAAATCACCCCTGGAGAGCTTCAGCAACACGCCGCTGCCTTTTGAGACGAAAAGTGCCCCCAACACCCCGTTGAGAACCCGGAAAAATGTGGATGGAATCACCATCCCCAGACCGTTCCAGATGACCGTCAGGTGAGGTTGAAACCAACCAAAAAATCATTGAAAAATATTACTTTCAGAGACGAAGAAAATAAGATAGTGGACGAGTTGTTCCTGCAAGTGCAGAAACCATCCAAGCAGGACAAGGCGCAAATGTTCAGGGCTCATGAGGTGCCCATCGAGTCGCAAATTCCTCTTTTCGATAAAATCATGGAAGATCAGCAAAGACGGTAGGAAAACCGGTAGTGTACGTGATAATATTAAGATATTCTTATCTTTCCTGGGTCTCAGGCAAAGTGTGAAGTAACAATTTTGAACATCGTTTATCTCATTACGTTTCGGCGAGACAACAGCGCCATCATCAGATTTAAAATTTACACAAACTCATGATTGGTAAAAATCAACGTTCTTTTAGGTCTTTGC